GAGAGAGAGAGAGAGGAACTTGATGGAAGACAGTGGTGGCGCCTAATCTTCATTGCTATTGGGTGGATTTAGCTGCCGACATGTGCTTTCACTTTTTCTTCCTGTCATCTCAAATTTACTGTGGATTCACTTTTTGTTCCTCTCATCATCTTCAAATTTCTTTGTTTTTTGAAGGTGGTCTGGGCTGGCCGAGGCAACCGTCCAGGGAAAAAGGTGGGTGCCTTGTGTACTGCTTGCCCTGGGTGCTTGGCGACCACCACATGATGCGCCCCAGGATCTAGTGGTCAGAGATGACAATTTGGGGGGAAATCAAATGGGTCCTTATCGTTTTTACTATATTCAGATCCATCAGATGGGATTAATCTGTACTTAAATAAGAGGAATGATTAAGAAGTTCTTAAGCACCAGAAATTAGATACAGTCTTGCTTAGAATTCATTTAAGTTACTAAAATTGATGGAAGGAGGTGACTTAATCACTTTAAAGAATTCCATGAAATAGTGGTTTTTGGTTGACTTACATTCAGTAGTGGTTTGCCTAGATCACTTGTTATGATTCTGAGATTGTTGAAGACAGAATCTATTCTTGAATCCCATTAATTGCTTACGGTAGAAAATTTCTTGATGAATATTGTGCTAGACCTTAATATGTTGATTTCTATTGATCCAAGTTTGATCATGTCACATTCTGGTCACATGTCTCTCTCCATGGCATGGGACAGCCATTGATTCAAAGAAGACTTGGCGAAGCTATTTGGCTTGTTCTGTCATGTCCGTGTCAAAGAATTGAAATATGATTAGTGCTACTTAGGAATTCGAGCCACACTTCTCCAACCTGGGTGTTAAGGCCTAAAAGCTTGGTCAGCCCATCTATGTTTGGCCATACCACCTAGGACGTCATCAGAATTGTGTAGTCTGTTAAAAATTGTCGAACTGGACAAAAGGTTGCAAAACATTGTCCTCACCTTGAAATCCTTAATTTTCTTAAATTGTTACTAAATATTGATTAGGTTTGTACTTTATACGGCATGAGTGTCAATAAATAAATTCTGCTTGCTTATAGGATGCACTAATTGTAGGAAAGCCCATGCATGCGAATAATGGTCCCACATGCAACCCACAGAATGCTCAATTTCATTGTTCCGAAGAATGGAGCTGGTTTTTCTACTCAATCTTTAGGACAAACTGAAACTTACACCTGATGTTAGTTAGGGTAGGATTTGATTAACTCAAATCCCAACTAGAGCTTGGATTAGTGCATTGTCAAATACTTATCTAATAAAGCGTGGGTGTTGAGTCTGGCATACAAAAATGCATAAGTATGACACAACTAAAATTCTTATAGTTAATGTACTCTTCTCTAGAAAGATTACTTCTACAATATTCCACAAAATAGGACACCTATTGCTGGATTCATAATAATTTATTGTTAGTTTATTGTACTATGGGTATATTTTTCTAATCTATTTTTAGATATCCTGTAAGGGGAACCTATGTTCAAGAACCTTTCTTGGGTTTCTTTTGGTCCAAGCCTAAGGCCATATTTGATAATCTCACAATATCCTTACATTTTAAGCTATCGTGGAATCTAAAATAATTCTGGCCCTAAAAACCCAGAACCCTTTTTTTTTAAATGTTGATGATGTATTATACATAGAAGTATCCACACTTCTTCTCATGAGTTGTTAGGGATGCAGCCCACAAGCAGGGTGCTCCACAATCTGAAAAATGCATACCAAAGAAGCCAAAGATCAAAAAAGAAATGACTAGAGTTAAATGGAGGTGGTGAGGTCTATCCTCAGAACGAGAGCTAAACACTTCCCAGATTTAGATATAATAGGAGAGAGGACTAGTTTGAGGGGAGAGAGAGGAGATTGAAAGGGGGGGAGGGGTCAAGAATAGGTAGCGCAAAAGATTAAAAAGACAAGAGAGATTTTGAGATAGAGAGAAGTGGGAGTGACAAAGAGAGGGAGACGTCATGGTAGAGGCAACCTAACTGTTGATGCTGTACCAGCAAAATTCGAACAGTATAAAAGGTCGAAAGATATTGGCAGTGTACTTGCCACTTGTTGATCCTATACCTGGCAAAAATCTGAAAACTACCATGTAGGGCAAGATATGGTGAAGGTTACCCACAAAGTCGCAACTGAATTTTAACATAGAAGAGGAAAGAACCTTGGGGTGTAAGATATAGATAGGAAACAAGGCGAGTGGGAAAGAAACTTGACAAAATTGGAAAAGTGAGAAGAAGTTAGAACAAAGAGAGCGAAGAGAAGTAGAAGAAAAAGAGAAAAGTTCACACATTACGTTGCTTGGGCTATACAATAGTTATTTCGACCCATTACATAAGATGCGCTTTGGAGATAGGTCACCTGAATTATGGGTTCTTCACACACACATACACACACGCTCTCTCTCTCTCTCTCTCTATATATATATATATATATATATATATATATATATATATAGTAGAGAGAGAGAGAGAGAGAGAGAGAGAGAGAGAGAGAGAGAGAGAGAGAGAGAAGAGAGTAGTAGTAGTAAGTATATATAGTATACTATATACTACGTACTTATTACTTACT